TCTGAGTGAGAAATGTACTGGGAGAAGCTGGAAGATACTTAGGCTGTCTAGACCGCAAAGAAAAGTCGGAAAAAGATACGCAAATTGCGTCTTTTTCTGCTTTTCTTTCGGAAGAAGCTTTTCCAAAATTTGGCCCATCTACATGGGACCAAATTTTGGAAAAACCTCCTCTTTCGGAACATCCCTTCTTCCTCATGCAATGAGGATTACAGGGATGGCGAAAGAATGCGTCCGCTTTTTTGGAAACTGTTCTGAAAAAGCGGACGTGTTCCTTGGACACGGCATAGCTTTTCTGGGATCCCGGCGGTCTCCCGGAAAAGCTCTGCAGCGTAGACATAGCCTTAGTCATAAATGTTAGTCTCCGCGGATAGGTCAGAAGAAAAGTGTTCTTTTTCTTAGGGAGGACGTCCTGCTGTTCCTTAATCGCAGTTTGAAATGGTGTGTCCTGGGCTGAGGGCGGGGCCGATGAAAGAACTGAGCACTTTTGAGAACTGGACTTCAGGGGAGTGGGATCTGATTTATTTTCCAGTTTCTTCTACAGGATGAGTTATAAAACTGCATGTGGGTCTTTCAGTAAATTTACCAAAGCTGACTGTGCAGGTTTAAACACTTCTGTAGCCAACAAGGAGTAATCCTGTGGCACTTAGAAACTAACACACACAGATATAGTATGGGCAAAACCCACTTCTTCAGATGAGCTGAAGAGGAAGAATAGAAACCCAGTAATTGTAACAGAAAGAGAAGGAGGAGAAGGTACCTGTCAGTTGCAGGACTGGTGCTAATGACGCTAATTAAGTGGCTGGAAGTGTCCTGTACTTCGCTTTTGATGTAAATGAGGTGTTAAATGCAGGGCAGACTAGCTTTATAATGCAACGTCCAGTTAATGTCTTTGTTCAAGCCCAGGGACACAGTATCAAATTTGCATCTGCCTAAGGGACTACATGAAGTAGATCAAATTAAAATGTAATAAATTAATGAGCATTGGAGATGGAGAAAGAGAGTGGGGCACCATCTGTTTGATTTTCAGGGACCAATGTAGATTTGTTCCCTTGTATTACTATGTATTTACTGATCTGTTTGCATTCCGGTCATGTCCGATTCCGAGGGCCAAAGGGGCCATTGTGAGTATCTGGTTTGAGCTCCTGTGTCACCCAGCATAGAACAGCCCCAGGGCAATTCCCAGAGCAGGTGTGTTAGAAACACTCCAGTCTCACCCTCCCGCTGTTGCTGGGGCTGCAGGTGAAGCAGTGGGAGGTCGTGGGAGGAGTAATGCCCCCGGTTTCCTCCCTGTAGTGGCATTAAGAACTACAAGGTATTACTGTGGAGGAGGGGCAGGCCATTGCTTAGGGGACTTGCGTGGGGCTTGAGAGTCCTGGATTCAGTTCCTTGCTCAGCTACAGACTTTCTCTGTGACCTTGGGCAAGTTACTTAGCTTCTCTCTGATTAAGTTCCCCTGCTTTCATGGGTGCTGTGAGGCTAAATAGTTTAAATATTGTAAGGTTCCCAGATACTAGCAGAGTGGGGGCCACTTAAATGCCACAGGTAGAAAAGGCTCATAACCCAGTGTAAGTTTCTTAGCACAGATCCCCAGGAGGGCTCTGTCTACACCATCCCTGACAGATGTCTATCTAACCTGTTCTTAAATATCTCCAGAGAGGGAGATTCCACCACCTCCCTTGGCAATTTATTCCAATATTTGACCACCCTGACAGTTAGGAATTTTTTCCTAATGTCCAATCTAAACCTCCCCTGCTGCACTTTAAGCCCATTACTCCTTGTCCTGTCCTCAGAAACCAAGAGGAACAAATTTTCTCCTTCCTCCTTGTGACACCCTTTTAGATATTTGAAAACCGCTATCATGTCCCCCCTTAATCTTCTTTTTTCCAAACTAAACAAGCCCAGTTCATGAAGCCTGGCTTCATAGGTCATGTTCTCTAAACCTTTAATCATTCTTGTTGCTCTTCTCTGTACCCTTTCCAATTTCTCCACATCTTTCTTGAAATGTGGCGCCCAGAACTGGACACAGTACTCCAGCTGAGGCCTAACTAGTGCAGAGTAGAGCGGCAGAATGACTTCACGAGTTTTGCTTACAACACACCTGTTGATACAACCTAGAATCATATTTGCTTTTTTTGCAACAGCATCACACTGTTGACTCATATTCAACTTGTGGTCCACTATGACCCCTAGATCCCTTTCTGCCATGCTCCTTCCTAGACAGTCGCTTCCCATCTTGTATGTATGGAACTGATTGTTCCTTCCTAAGTGGAGCACTTTGCATTTCTCTTTATTAAACCTCATCCTGTTTACCTCTGACCATTTCTCTAACTTGCTAAGGTCATTTTGAATTATGTCCCTATCCTCCAAAGAAGTTGCAACCCCACCCAGTTTGGTATCATCTGCAAACTTAATAAGCGTACTCTCTATCCCAATATCTACATCATTGATGAAGATATTGAACAGTATGGGTCCCAAAACAGACCCTTGAGGAACTCCACTTGTTATCCCTTTCCAGCAGGATTTAGAACCGTTAACAACAACTCTCTGACTACGGTTATCCAGCCAATTATGCACCCACCTTATCGTGGCCCTATCTAAGTTATATTTGCCTAGTTTATCAATAAGAATATCATGCGAGACCGTATCAAATGCCTTACTAAAGTCTAGGTATATGACATCCACCGCTTCTCCCTTATCCACAAGGCTCGTTATCTTATCAAAGAAAGCTATCAGATTAGTTTGGCATGACTTGTTCTTCACAAACCCATGCTGGCTATTCCCTATCACTTTATTACCTTCCAAGTGTTTGCATATGATTTCCTTAATTACCTGCTCCATTATCTTCCCTGGGACAGACGTTAAACTGACCGGTCTGTAGTTTCCTGGGTTGTTCTTATTCCCCTTTTTATAGATGGGCACAATATTTGCCCTTTTCCAGTCTTCTGGAATCTCCCCTGTCTGCCATGATTTTTCAAAGATCATAGCTAAAGGCTCAGATACCTCCTCTATCAGCTCCTTGAGTATCCTGGGATGCATTTCATCAGGACCTGGTGACTTGCTGACATCTAACTTTCCTAAGTGATTTTTAACTTGTTCTTTGTGTATCCTATCTTCTAAACTTACCCTCTCTCTGCTTGTATTCACTACGTTAGGCACACCTCCAGACTTCTCGGTGAAGACCGAAACAAAGAAGTCATTGAGCATCTCCGCCATTTCCAAGTTTCCTGTTACTGCTTCTCCCTCCTCACTGAGCAGTGGGCCTACCCTGTCCTTGGTCTTCCTCTTGCTTTTAATGTATTTATAAAAGGTCTTCTTGTTTCCCTTTATGCCTGTAGCTAGTTTGATCTCATTTTGTGCCTTTGCCTTTCTAATCTTGCCCCTGCATTCCTGTGTTGCTTGCCTATATTCATCCTTTGTTATTTGTCCTAGTTTCCATTTTTTATATGACTCCTTTTTTATTTTGAGATTGTGCAAGATCTCCTTGTTAAGCCAAGCTGGTCTTTTGCCATATTTTCTATCTTTCCTACACAGCGGAATTGTTTGCTTTTGGGCCCTTAACAACGTCCCTTTGAAATACTTCCAACTCTCCTCAGTTGTTTTTTCCCTTCAGTCTTGCTTCCCATGGGACCTTACCTACAAGTTCTCTGAGCTTATCAAAATCTGCCTTCCTGAAATCCATTACCTCAATTGTGCTGGTCTCCCTTCTACCTTTCCTTAAGATCATGAACTCTATTATTTCATGATCACTGTCCCCTATACTGTCTTCCACTTTCAAGTTCTCAACTAGTTCCTTCACTACAAGGCCGTTCCGCTGTTCCTTTCCATGTGGGAGAGACCAGCTGGTTGCCTGTGCGGTGCTCCGTGGTGATATTAGTGGGCTAAGAGATGCCAGGAACGTGTCTCTGCCTGGCTCCCTCTTCTATTTAGCCCCAGTTGCCTCTTTCTTGCCTCACTCAATCTGTCCCCAGTTGGCACGAGAGCTTTCTTCTGTATCCTGCGCTTGGAGCGTCCCCCTGTATCTGCCTCACGAGCCCCCTTCTCCTTCAGCCTCTACAGAAAGCGTGCCTTTGTCTGTCTCTCGGTTTGTATCTCTGTGGTAGGGCAGTGCACTTGGCCGTGTGATTCGTAGGAGGGATGCTACCAAAATCAAATAGGTGTGTGCTGGCGTTCGCAATGCAATGCAATTACTAGTCTGAGCATAGGTTCACCCTCCACAGCTCCTACTGAAATGTTAGAAACCGGAAAGGGAGCGACTCGGAGCAGAAAGCTGGTTGGAAAACTGTACGTGCATCTCCTTAAACTTCCGCTCTGCTGGGAATCTTAGGGGTGGGATGTGCTCTTCTTGGCAAAGAGCTTCTGCAGGGGTGAGATTGTGCACATCCACCTGCAGTCAGAGCAGTGCTCTGCGGGCCCCTCCGTGCTCTCCAGGGCAAGTGCAGGAGGAGATGGGTATGCTCTCCCCCTGCTTGAGGAGGAGCTGAGCGAAGTTGAGAGAAAAAGTAACGCGTGAGTGCGTTTGCAGGAGCAATGTTCTCTCACTAGCTTAGTGATGTGAGAAGAGGAAAAAAAATCCCTTGTCTCGTATGAATGATTGTGTTTAGATCTGTGTCATCATTTCAGTTGTGCTGCTGACAGATGTCAGGAAAAGGTGCTTGGATTAGGGGTGCCAGCTTGTCCGCCTACATGGTGTCTAACCATTCACTGCTCCCTGGAAGGCTGTTTGCCTCAAGGCAGGTCCTTTACCACAAGCTATGGAAATAGGAAAGCAGTTCAGACTTACTTCCTGACCGATCCTTCTTGCGACATTTATTTGATCCAGTTTTTTTATTGGAATTTGAGTAATAACTTTTCCTCCCCAAAGCTGCTTCGTCTTTTGGCAAACGGGCCATTGCTAGTGTGAAGTGCCTGGAGTTTGCTTTATTTTCTACTGTTCGTATCCTGACCGTGCGTCTTCATCTTTGGGGGTGGAGACCTTACGATTTCACTGGTTTGGGTTGCAGGGAGCAGGGAGTGACGGTGTGCGATTGACAATGGAGAGTGCTCTGACAGCCCGTGACCGTGTGGGGGTTCAGGATTTCGTCCTGCTAGAGAACTTTACTAGCGAAGCCGCCTTTATTGAAAACCTGCGCAAGCGATTCAAGGAGAATCTCATCTATGTGAGTAGCAAAGCAGCAGCCAGTGTGCTGAGCTTGGACTAGAATGTGGATATTTTTTCAGAGTTGGCCCTTTTGATTTTGTTCTGCAGGTGTGAGCTCCAGAAGTGGTGGTGACCATCAGCTCCCCTTTTATACCCCATGGTCTGGATTCTCAGACCTGGTCTCTGTATTGACCTACTGGCAAACACAGGGCCTGATTTTCAGATCGTTGCGTATCTGCAACTCCAATTAAGTTCGGCTGGAATTCTGAGTGCCTCGCACCACTGAAAATCCAGACCCTACAGCAACGTCCAGCTTCACAGAGCTAGCTATTCTGTTGTGGTGCTAACAAACCCAGTCATAGTGCTTATCCCGAATATTGGAACAAATGGTCAAAAATAACCCAGCACTGAAGCTGGGCTTTCCAGACAGACTGGAGCAGTCACTCAGAGCTGTAAATGCAGCACTTTTGGTAAGGAGGACACATCCAGCACAAGTTCTGTGTTGACTAGCTGTGAGGTTTCTTCAGCCCCCTGACAGCGGGCCGGCTGTCCCTGTACCAATGTCTGGGCTTGCAGAGTAATTCTGGAGGCAGGTGCTGTCCTTCACGTCATGCTTTTCTTTTCTGCTCTTTTCAGACTTACATTGGCTCAGTTCTGGTGTCAGTAAATCCGTACAAGGACCTGGAAATCTACAGCAAGCAACACATGGAGCGATACCGAGGCGTCAGTTTCTATGAAGTCTCTCCTCACCTGTGAGTGGCCTGTGGGTAAACAATACCGTGTGTGCCATTCCCACCTGGCCTGTGTCATGCTGATATGCGAAAAGCAAACCTGCGAGACTCCCCCTGCCATCTTTCAAGCAGAGTACTGAAGTGATTGGGGGCGAAAGGGCCCGTTCGCAGGTGCCATGTGTGGCTACTTTTATTCCTGTTTCTCTTTCCAAAGAGATGAGTTGCCTAGGAGAGTCTTGGTTGATGGGCGGGTTGGTTCCTTCCTGGCCAAATGATTTCAGACTTGGAGGAGTCTCAGATGCTGATTCGGCTCAGGCAGGACCAGAGACCCCGTTGTCCCAGGGTATTTGCTAACTAGATGAGCTGGTTCTACATTTCCCTTGCTGCTGAGCAGCTTATCCAGCATGTGACTTGAGTGTGGGTGTAAATGGCTCCTCTCCTACCTCCGCTGTCACTGCTTGACCAGCAATAATCGGCTCTTGCCTTTGTCGCTAAGATACCATGAGCCCGTTGGAACAAGGACTGTTGTTTGCATGGCCTGGCGAATGTTCCTAATTTCCTATTTAAAATAAGGTTTCTGAAGCTTGAAAGCTATTTTTGAATGTCACTGATTTTTTTTCTGTCAGACCAAAAGAGAGAGGATGCAGCTGAGTTGAGCCTAGCTGACCAAGCTACTTGCGGAGCCAGGGCCCAATCCTGGGAGACCTCTTAAAGGCTCTTTCTCCCAAAGGCCTTCCAAGGAATAAACACGATTATTTTGAAGAGCCAGGGAGCGTTATGTGAGCGGTTTCCTGTTGTTGGCAGGTAACTCACCAGTGCAAGTGAGAGGGGAGGATGCTACAGGCATGGTGAGGCGGTGCTAGAAACAGAGTTGCTTGGGAAAATCCAGAATCGTTAGAATTGTACAGGTGAGACCTCCCTGGTCCGGCACCCTCAGGACCTGAGCAGTCCCAAACCAAGGAGTTTGCCAGACCAGGGGAGGTCAGGCCTCAGGCTCTCCTGGGACTTGCCTCCTGGCTGCTGGCTGGCCCAGTCTGCTGCCCCCGGCAGCCAGCCTGCTCCAGCTGGTGAAGCTCCCTGCCACTGGCAACCTCTGAGGCCCTGCCGGACCAGAGAGGTTTGGCCTGTGTGTGTTGGGCCCTCAGTGGGGTACGTTGTGTTAGAAGTGGTTCACTCTTCCCTCCCTTCCTGCAGAGCTCTTTGGAGGAGAATTACAATCTCACAGACCCTCTGCTGAGCCATGCTCCCACTAAGGGGTCCACCTGTGGCCGCGCCGAAGGCCGCCGAGGGCCATGCACTTAATTAGCAAAGCTGCGCCAGCGTGCACCCTGCACTCCACTGCGTGGCCACAGGCAGTGGAGTGAGGCTGGGGGCATCCGGGGCTGCAGCGTAGTCAGACGCCTCTCCTCCCGCCCCGATGCCAGGATGCTGTGGGGAGAGTCCTCTCTCCCTGCCACTGTCCCCAGGGCAGCCAACACCCCAAATTCCCCATCCCAGCCCCACTCCAGAACCCGCACTCCCCATACACCAACCCTCTTCCCCAGCCCGCAGCCCCTTGCCACTCTCCAGCCCCGCACGCCTGGCTTCCACACGATGCATGCACCAGTGTTCCTTCTGTACACACATGGGAAAGTGAGAGTGACCATTGCGAGTGCACCCCGGTGCATTCTAGGTACATCTGTGTGAATTGTAGTGACAGTGTCTGAGACGGGGCTGCCTGAGGAGTGCAGCACGAAAGCATTACCCGATTCTGCTGCTCTTCCATTATCCTTTGTGCCGGGGGGGAGAGGGCCTGCACAGTTTTCATCTTTCAAAGCAGTCCAAAAACAGAAAAAGTTCTCCCCCTCGATGAGAAATTGTAGCTGTACAGCTCAGCTGGAAACATAAGTGCAGGGGCCGCAGACGTGACTGAGATACAGGAGACAGTATTTCCAGACTGGCTCTCTTAGGGGCATTGCTGTTGCTCGGGAAATCATGTGAACATTTGTGTATTTTTAAATGTTGTGGGAAACGCTCGATTCAAGCATGGGGCCATGTGCTGTTTTATCTATTGCAGTCAGTAGCCCTTCAGGTCATTTTTCCATAACTTTTTAAACTGGCTGTATAAAATGAAAAGAATTCTGCCTTGCTGTCCAAATACCAAAATACCTGACAGCTAGTGGGAATGCTTCAACGTCCAATGGTGCGTGGAGTCCATGGTACCTTGTCACTGAAAAGCAGAAAGTTTTATCCCATTGGACATGGGATGCCGGATGTCTTCGTGACAGTCCGCGTACAGACACTGCTGAGGGAGAGCCAGGGGTCTGAACTCCCAAGAGTAAACAATTAACTCAGCTGGTTGTATACAGTGGTGTTGTGTATAAAACCTGGAGTAAGGTGGTCTATGAAAGCTTGTAATGTTCTGAACTGAATGATCATTACGAGATAGGTACCTGGGCTGTGTTTCATGTAAGTGTATCGAGAACTGGGTTTGTAAAGCTTTGCCTTTACCTCACAGGAGGGCAGGGTCAGCCAGTTGAGGGATGCTGCCTCTCCAGCCGACAAGACTAGTACTGTACTACCCAGGAAAAGACACACGATGAGCCACCAGCATTATTGGGAAAATACTGAGACAGCCTGGCTAGAATTTCCCCAGCCAAAGTAATGATGAGTCACCATGTGAGGAGGGTGGAAAACTAAGGCACAAGGCCTATTACAGTGTCTGTGGAGAGCGGTTATCCCTAAATAAAGGGACAACGACATAAAATATCAGGTAGGCAGTGCAGCGGCCTTCCCCTTGCACCTCGGGGGTACAACCCCCTCAGAGAGAACATGCCGCCTAGGAGCAGATTCTAGAACTCGGGGTGTGTTGCATTTCCAAGTGAAGTTGCATTGATTTAAAGTCGACCTTTTGGCACCCAGATTCACAAAGTCAAAGCGCATGTCCTCACTGGGCACAGAGGTCGCTGGTGTGCGTCCCCAGTGGGGTGTCTGCCTGCAGCGTCACCAGCCATGCCCTGTGCCCTGCCACCCCTTTGCATTCTGGGTTAGACTCCCAATGGGGGACAATCATTGCAGAAAGTGGTTCTGAGTACACCTTGTCAACCTTCCATGATGCACTTCTCTCCTCCCTCCCTTTCTGCTTGGAAGCAGCAGCAAACAGCCTCTTTTCCCTGGTTATCCCTGACCCCGCTCAGGAGAGGCTTGCATTGCAAACACCTCTCGCATGCTGCGGTTCCTCCAGACCGAGCCGGGAGCCACTGATGCAAGGAAGAACGTGAAGAGCCCCCCGCATGGATGTGCAGGAACCACTGAGCGGAGCAATTGGCAGATGCTGGCAGGAGTGGGTCGTCTTGACACAATGGAGGCCAGTTCTGATCCCATGAGACAAGCACAACTCCCGCCTGCGCCAGGCAGTGTTCCCTCTGCTGTGGGGCAGCACAGCCTCCCGGCGGAGTCCTGAGCCCCACCCTGCACGGAGCCTGAGCCTCCGACTGGGCCAGGCTGGTAGATCACCTGTGAAGCGGGGCTGCCACGTGGCTTGGAAGGAACTCTGGCTCCAGGCTGCTTTCCTGGAACTTGATGAATTGTTTTCCCCACCCTGAAGCGAGCCCCACTCTGACAGCTGAGCAGCCAGCAGGAAGCCTGCAACACCAGACAAGCTACCGGTCATTGGGAATCAATGGAGAGCGGGGGCTGCTGCAATCCCAGGAGCCAGGCAATCGATACGCTTCTGCTGGGAGGGGCAGTGGCTTTGGGAAACGTGCAGGACGCAGTGGAGGGCTTTGCCACACACCTCCTCCCTGTCTTGGAACCTGACCACCTGCCAGAGAGAACAGAAACCGCAGGGGCCCTTCTCGAGGGCGCAGCAGGCACTGGTGGATCCCAAGGGCAATCTCACCGATGGTCGGGAACAGCCGCAAGGCGCCTTGCTGTAGGAACTCTGATCTCCTCGGAAATCTGCAACCCGACTGGAAAATTACTGTGGGAGGTGTTGAAATGCCGAGCGGGATCCTGGGACCCCCAGCTACCCCGCACTCCCATGGCTCACAGCCTGGGCCGCAGTAAGGCGCAGCTCAGATACAGGCTGAGTGGCGGTGGAGTGTGTCCTTGGCCCTCAAAGGGACCCTTTTGGAGTCTGACGAGGTTAAAGCTCAGCAAAAGCAGCATTCCCATTAGTGCAGCTGCTCGCTGTGAAGTTGAGGGAAGGGGTTCTGGTGGGTGGGGGAGGTCAAGGCAGGTCGCCCAGCTGCTAATTCTGAGCAGCCGGGGCCCCAGGGCGAGAAGAGCACAGCATGGGGCACTGCCACTCAGAGGCTTTGAAAACCAGTTCCACGAATGAGCAGGCAGCGGTGGGACAGACTGACCTGCTGCTCCTAACGAGGTGCCCCAGCGTTACAGTACTGGCCTGTAATCCCTGCCCTGCCACGCGCACAGTGCACAGAATCAGTGAAGACCCTGTTCTGAAATCACGTGTGTTTATTTGGAGAACACACGGAACAGAAACCGAAAGGGGGGACGAGCGGCTTTTCGCACCCCCGTAGCCATCCGTGGTGGGAAGGACAGCCGTCCCCTCCTAACGAGGTGCCCCAGCGTTACAGTACTGGCCTGTAATCCCTGCCCTGCCACGCGCACAGTGCACAGAATCAGTGAAGACCCTGTTCTGAAATCACGTGTGTTTATTTGGAGAACACACGGAACAGAAACCGAAAGGGGGGACGAGCGGCTTTTCGCACCCCCGTAGCCATCCGTGGTGGGAAGGACAGCCGTCCCCGACTCCCCTCCCACCCGCTCCCGGCATCCTCCGGCAGCTGGGAGAGGGGGGCACG